CATACGCCATAGTATCGGTTGTTTCGTTTGTTGCACATACCATTGGATCAACTTAGGGATGGTAGTTCCATTGTGATGCATATTATAGGACGCATACATGATGAGTGTGATAAATATGGTCAAGAGCCTATGCCTTATGACTTGGGTGATATCAATTTCCTTATGTTTGATGTTGGGCAGATACCGCACACTAAAAAAAAGATACCAAAGGCATGAGGATGTTCTGTTGTGTGAAGCTTGGTTGACCACAAGCATGGATTCAATTTATGAAACCGAGCAAAAGGCATTAAATATTGGCAAAAGACCCACAAACACTACCATGAACACAAGAACTATGTGGGGCCTCACCCAATCCATACCATCCGCAGTTAGGCTTTCTCCGACATAGATGGTTCACCATCAGGGGCGGACCCAGAAACTATTCTAAGTGGGGGCAAACTATGGGAGTGGGGGCATACTTTGTACAAATTCACATAATTTTGGCAAAAAATTCTGAAATTTCAAAGAAATATCACTGAAGTTTCATATTTTGAGTGGGGTCCTAGGCCCCCACTCCCATGAACGTGGGTCCGCCCCTGTTCACCATCCAAGAAAGCATCAACAAGTTTTGCAGTTTCATTCACAAGTGGTTGACCAGAACCAAAGTGGCATGGGAGTCAAGACATGTAAGTATGAACATATGTGTTAATTAATTAATATATGGGTGGTTCTTTTTTAAAAAAAGACATGTAAGTTTGAATTGCTTCACATTGTCATCATTTGTATTGCTAGCTTCATTGTTGCATTGTTTTGAGTGATTCTTGTTTTGCTAGTTACGGTTGGCGGACGCTTTGTACAACCAAATTGAGGGCAAGCCATTCACTTTTGTCCCAATTGCTTATTGAAATTGAATGAAAACCGAAGTGGCAACTCGTCCTCAATGAGCTCAAAAACCCCACCAAAAAGTTGAAGAGAAACGATGGCCCAAGCTTCCAACAATATATTGGATTGGATGACAAAGAGGAGAAATGTGGATAGGCGGACATACAAACGACCATACCAAAGAGGAAGCTGTAAATGATGGGAAACAAATGGGAGAAGGAGTCGTGGCAAGCAAAATGCCCATCGCATGGGCAAACATTTTTGCGCCAAGGAGAAGACGGAGGAGGAGAGATACATGCTTGGATGTGCAAAGGTAAATGATGGAGTTTGACCCGGGGAGGGTGAAAGAGAAGGGAGGGAGAAGGTGGACTTGTATAAGCAAGAGAAATGTACAAAATGGAAGCTCGAGAAGGCGACAATAATGCAATGAATTGATTTGAGAGAGAAGTTGAGGCTTGCAAGGCAAAGAGGAGTCGAGAATCATGCTGTAGGACACTAGCCTCTAGGATGAGGAAAGCAAGAAGTGATTGATTAACATGAAGAAAGAGGATCAACGAGGGTAACAATGAAGGCTTTGATTCATTTATGTATCGTCTATCTATGTGTAAATTATTGGTGTTTATTTGGCATGTGTAAAATTGCGGATTTTTTTGCTTTATCGAATTGTGATAAACATATGCTTTATGATGGACGTGCATGACTTTGCATGAATACGAGAGTTTGGATATGAGGGATGTGCTTGTCTGGCATGACAAACGATGGGTTGGTCCGTGTCGCGGACACATTCAAATGTGCCCGCAGATGTTTAGGGAATCGGATTTGCGCTTCTAAACGTATGAATCCTTATTCAGCTCAGCTGAACATCTCCAACGGCCGCGCGAAACGACGCGCGCGCGCGGTAAACACAACCTTTAGCGCGTGCGGGGCGTTTTGCCGCGCCCCAACGACGGCGGGAAAACCATGCGCACGGGAACCGCTTGCGCGCGCGCGAAAAGGCACCAGCTCGCGCGTCATTTTTTGCGCGCCGCTTCCGGCGCGCCTATAAAGTGCGGCGCGCGCCACGCGCCTCTCCACGCCTCCTCTTCTCCTCTTCCTCTCTCTCTGCCACACGCCGCTTCCGGCGCGCCTATAAAGTGCGGCGCGCGCCACGCGCCTCTCCACGCCTCCTCTTCTCCTCTTCCTCTCTCTCTGCCACGCGCCGCTCCAGTGCCCCACCACCGCCGCGCCGCCATGCCGCCGCGCCGCCGAGGAGCGTTCGGCTACCGCAGCGTCCGCCTGCGCCCCAACGGCGGCTACTACGCGGAGATACGCTCTGGCGATCTCCGGCTCGGCCTCGACACGTACGGGACGGCGCGCGAGGCCGGCCGCGCGTACGACGCGGCGGCGTGGCGCCTAGGCCGGCTGCGCGGCCAGATGAACTTCCAAGATGTCTACACGCTCCAGCAAGCGCTCGACCGTGCCCCGCCGACACGTCTGAACACGGCACAAGACCGTGCGGAGCACGCCGAGCGGCAGCGCCGCCTCCTCGTCGCCCAGGAGGACGAGCGAGTCATGGCGGAGTGGCGCCACCGCCACCCGGAGGACGTCGCCTACGAGCAGGCCTACTGGGCAAGGCGTCGCGAGGAGGACACGCGAAGGCGCCGCGAGGCGCGGTTGGACAGGCGTCGGCGTAAGGCGTTGGCGAACGCGCAGTCCGATCTCGTTGCAGCAGGTGGGCAGTCGTTCTTCACGCCGAACGATGATCGGTGGTTGGACATCTGGCTGGATACCTCGGACGACACCGCCGAGAAGGATGATGATAGTGATGATAGCGACTTAGAGTAGTTTTTTTTAATGCAATCTATCTCGTTTTTTTATCGTTTGTCGTTTTTAATTATTATGCAATTTATGTTTCGGATGTAAAATACCTTTGTATCGTTTTAAAATTTATGCAATCTATCTATTTTTCAATAGCCTAGAATAAGCGCACGCGATGTTTTTTTTGCGCGTTGCTGGAGCGGCGCGCGCTGCATTTTAGTGCGCCGCGCCAAACCAGCCGATGCGCGCGCGGCATATGTGTTTTTTGCGCGCGGCACGACCGGCGCCTGCTCTAACATGTGAGTCAAGTCATTGATGCTACGGGACTGTTCATGCTTGTGTCATGAAGAATACGAAAACCCTCACGTTCCAGCCTGTGCACAGAAGACTCGCTACAAACCCGGGGTTGCAGTTGGACGGATCTTTCAGAAGTTTGATCACGACAAGCCAGGCCTACCGATAGACAAGTACGTGACCTCTCACATCACGTGGCTACCGACAAGGTCAAGTTTGATGGCTGCAAAGAGATTAATCAACCGGGACGATCCTACAGTACATTACAAGATGAGATCATTCAGAACACCATAGAATAGTCCAGTGACACAAGAGAAGAAACGAAACGCATACACTACTATATTTCGAGGTTGACTTGAGGCAAATTTATGCCAAAAAATCTCGGATCTATCGTAAACTAGGATGCTCGCTGCCATCTTTCAGCTGAAAGAAAGCCACTTAAAATATCAGGACCGAGGGGGACAGATAGCAGGAAAAATCTTGACGTAAACGTCAACTGCGTCACCAGATTTGACGCTCGGCTCACGGCGAGTGAGACGGACAGATTCATCTCTGACCCACAACCACAGATAAGCATGCACTGACTAAACTACAGCGAGTGAGACACACACACCTCTCCGTTTGAACTAGAAAAGGTCAAAGCCTCAACGGTCCAAGATAATCGCGCCGCTTTGACTGCAAACCAGATAAAATCTGTAGTCGTGTTCAGATAAGATATACTAATACAGTAGTACATACTACTCCCTCCGTCCGAAAATACTTGTCATCAAAATGAATAAAAGGAGATGTATCTAGATGTATTTTAGTTCTAGATACATCTCTTTTTGTCCATTTTGATGACAAGTATTTTCGGACGGAGGGAGTATATCTCAAGATGAAGGTATGATCATTACGTTACCATGACATTCAGAACGAGACAACACACACATTCTCAGTGCATCATAGCGAGACGAGAGCACAACGTAATGTCACACGTAAACTTGCATGCTTTTGCACCTGACCTCCGCCACCAGTTACACCTTCCGACAGACCGAATCCTAATCGAATTCGTAATAAGATTACTAAGACGTAATTAGGAACACGAGGTCTTGGACAAGTTAACACACACATGCAGTTCCTATAGCACGACCTATGCACCTGCATTGTAATGTAAATCTTATCGAAACACGCATCATGGATCGATCTATTCCGACGTAACGACGGGCTTGACGGCACCGGCGGCGGCGGCGGCCATCTCCTGGCGGTGGTGGTGGCCCTGGTACTTGGGGTCCTTGGTGACGACCCGCTTCCAGTACCAGTGCTTGTCGAAGAGCAGCCAGATCTCCTCGATGGGCACCTGCTTCGTCTCCGGCAGCAGCAGGACGACGAAGACGGACATGACCACGATGAGCGCCGCGAAGAGGATGAACACCCCCCACCGGAGGTGGCACATGGCCGCCAGGAAGCACTGCGCCACCGCCGCCGTCCAGAAGAGGTTGACGCACACCACCACGCTCTGCCCCGCCGACCGCATCTCCAGCGGGAACAGCTCGCTGGGCACCAGCCACCCCAGCGGCCCCCACGACCACCCGTACGCCACCACGAACAAGCAGATGGCCACCACCAGCACCGTGCTCACGCCCTTGGACAGCTCCTCCCCGTGCCCGAACTTGAGCGCCAGGATCGTCGCCACCACCACCATGGACGCGATCATCTGCGCCCCGGCCTCCATGAAGAGCACCCGCCGCCCCAGCCGGTCCACCACCACCATGGACACCAGCGCGCCCACCACCAGCATCGACCCCGTGATGATGGACGAGTAGAGCGCCGCCGAGGAGCCGAACCCGAGGCTCTGGAAGATGACCGGCGAGTAGAAGAGGATGGAGTTCATCCCCGACAGCTGCTGGAACGCCGGGATGCCCAGCGCGCCGATGATGAGCTGCGGCCGGTTCCGCACGGCCAGCAGGTTCCGGAACGTGCCGCGCACCGCCCGCGCCGCCTCGCTCGCCTCCTTGAGGTCCTCGAACTCGGCGTCCACCTTGTGCGTCCCGCGCACCTTCTCCAGCACGCGCCGGGCCTCCTCCAGCCGCCCGCGCTCCACCAGGCTGTTGGGCGTCTCCGGCAGGAACAGCGCGCCGACGAAGATGGCGGTGGCGGGCACCACGGCGAGGCCCAGCGAGAGGCGCCACCCCCACGGGTGGATCCGGTCGGTGAAGTAGTTGATGACGTTGGCGACGAGGATGCCGAGGCAGGTGGTGAGCTGGAAGAGCTGGTTCACGGCGCCGCGGATCCTGAAGGGCGCGATCTCCGACAGGTAGAGCGGCACGGCCTGGTTGCCGAAGCCGATGCCGACGCCGAGGAGGACGCGGCCGACGATGAGCATGGCCACGTTGACGGCGGCGGCGTTGACGGCGCCGCCCAGGAAGAAGCTGACGGCGCCCACCATGATGCTGCCGCGCCGGCCGTGGCGCTTGGTCACGTAGGAGGCCCCGAAGGTGGACACCAGGCCGGCGAAGTAGAGCGAGGAGGTGAAGAGCGTCAGCACCTGGTTGTCGTACTTGCAGTAGTCCGTCTCGTGCAGGTGTGCGTGCTTCCGGTTGTACACGTCCGGGAAGAACTTGATCAAGAAGTCGTCCATGGAGGTCACGCCACCTGCGCTCATCGTTCACCACCAGCGTCCATGAAACCATGATTAGTTACCACTCTTGTTCTCGTGTCAAGTAAATCAGTGTGATGAAGAAATATACTCTACATCACATTTCGGTGAAAGATAACTAACTGAAAACTACCGGTCATCCAGGAAAATTGGTTTTGTTACTTGAATCATGCAATTCAACTTTTATGTGGTTTAGTGTGGACACTTCCCTTTTTGTCATGGCAATCTACTAATCTTGGGCGGAAACGTGTTGTGCATACTGTATAAGATGTGATACCTCTACTGAAAATGAGAGGACATTCCGTGGCATGTTACTAATTCTACTCCCCAGGACAGCTCACAATCGTTAGAAATGGTTTCCGTCCAAAAAACAGATTAATTTCAGTAGGTAAAGGAAGCAGTATTGACGCAGACACCGGGTGCCCACTCCAAACAAAACAAAAAGAAGATGGAGACACCATAATGGCCATTACGTTTTCATTTGGTACTCTTTTGGCCTATAGACAATGCGTCCTTTGTAAAGGAAAGCATTAACCATGATCGAGGCCATTAATTTTGATGAGGACACACTTAGGAACAATTTTATAATTCTTCAAATAGATTAGAAACCCATGCGAGTAATTGTTCGGAGAATGATGTGAAACAAGAAAGAAAAATCATGTTGAGAGAAGAACAAAATCTGACTAAGACACAAATTTCTGAGACGACGCCAGATGAATCGTCGACGACACGACGATGCCGAAAGAAGAAAAATTAACAGGACGAACATGGACAATTGGAGATGAACAAGAGGGGTTGGTACGAGGGGAGTGGAACACTCACTGGAGACCCCGAGGTCGTAGCCGAAGAGGGAGCCGCCGAAGGAGCCGACGATGCAGGCGAGGATGAAGTAGGGCGTGATCCTCCCCTCGTACTGCTCCGCCCTCCCGCCGCCGGCCTCGACGCCGGCGAAACCCCCGGCCATCTCCCTCTCTTCCTTCTCCTCCTGTCCAACCTCTCCCTTCAAACCACGAAACCAGGAGCCTCCTCACCTGTCTGCCTGTTTACACGCTCGTCTTGGCTGAAAGAAAGAAACAGGGCGAGAGCAGAGACGGAGGGGGCGAAAGAGACAGCAGAGGTCAACACACGGCAGTCAAGAAACGGACAAACTGAACGTGGAAACGAGAGACAAGAGTGACAGAGAGAGGTACCTCTGCGCTGCGCTGCTCTTGGGCTGGCGCCAGGGTGAGGGTGGTCCGCCGTCCGCCCCGCGGAGTATTCAAACCGGAGGCAGGTGGCCGTCGACTAAACAACGGGCATGCGATCGCGTCCTCTTCTGCCGCTCCGGGAAGCGCCTGGTCGATCTGGCCTGGCCGAGGGAGGGAGGGAGGGAGGAAGAGAGCGGAGGAGAAATGGGGGGATCGATGAGAGAGTGAGGCCGGCGGGGGGTTTTATGCACGGCACGGGGACGGATTGGCATGCCACACCCGGGTCGTGTGGCTGCGACCCGCGGGGGTGACACGGTTGGTTAGGCTTAGGCTTAGGCCTAGGCTCAGTCGAGCGTTGATCCTCACCGCCCGGATATGGCCGCGGCAGCGTCAAGAGAACCGCTTATCCGATCGGATCGGAGAGCCGGAGTGACGATGCTGCCGCGAGCCGGTCAAAGACGACGAGGTGATTATGTGGGTGCGGGACTTCCGATTTCGGCGTCAACAGCACCGGAATGCGTTTCCTAATTCAACAGTCCACAGAGAGTCCTTCAAATGCATTTAGTATAATATTATCCTTATCTGATAAACGGAGAGTCCTTCAAATGCGTTTCCTAATTCAACAGTCCACTTCTAATGTTACTACCTCAAAACACTCATCCAATGTGTTTTGTTAGAGAAAAAGTAGTAGTATGAATTATCCGCTTTGTCCAACTGCATATGGCAAGCACGTACTTTTAGACAGTAATGCTACAAGCAGGGGGTCATTATGGGGAGTTTACGGGGTGGATCTGAAGGAAATATGCCCTAGAGGCAATAATAAAGTTATTATTTATTTCCTTATATCATGATAAATGTTTATTATTCATGCTAAAATTGTATTAACCGGAAACATAATACATGTGTGAATACATAGACAAACAAAGTGTCACTAGTATGCCTCTACTTGACTAGCTCGTTAATCAAAGATGGTTATGTTTCCTAACCATGAACAATGAGTTGTTATTTGATTAACGGGATCATATCATTAAGTGAATGATCTGATTGACATGACCCATTCCATTAGCTTAGCACCCGATCGTTTAGTATGTTGCTATTGCTTTCTTCATGACTTATACATGTTCCTATAACTATGAGATTATGCAACTCCCGTTTACCGGAGGAACACTTTGGGTGCTACCAAACGTCACAACGTAACTGGGTGATTATAAAGGAGTACTACAGGTGTCTCCAAAGGTACATGTTGGGTTGGCGTATTTCGAGATTAGGTTTTGTCACTCCGATTGTCGGAGAGGTATCTCTGGGCCCTCTCGGTAATGCACATCACTTAAGCCTTGCAAGCATTGCAACTAATGAGTTAGTTGCGGGATGATGTATTACAGAACGAGTAAAGAGACTTGCCGGCAACGAGATTGAACTAGGTATTGGAATACCGACGATTGAATCTCGGGCAAGTAACATACCGATGACAAAGGGAACGACGTATGTTGTTATGCGGTCTGACCGATAAAGATCTTCGTAGAATATGTAGGAGCCAATATGGGCATCCAGGTCCCCTTATTGGTTATTGACCGGAGACGTGTCTCGGTCATGTCTACATTGTTCTCGAACCCGTAGGGTCCGCACGCTTAAGGTTACGATGACAGTTATATTATGAGTTTATGCATTTTGATGTACCGAAGGTTTTTCGAAGTCCCGGATGTGATCACGGACATGACGAGGAGTCTCGAAATGGTCGAGACATAAAGATTGATATATTGGAAGCCTATGTTTGGATATCGGAAGTGTTCCGGGTGAAATCGGGATTTTACCGGAGTACCGGGAGGTTACCGGAACCCCCCGGGAGCTATATGGGCCATGATGGGCCTTAGTGGAAAAGAGAAGAGGCAGCCCCTCATGGGCCGCGCGCCCCTCCCCTCCCTTGGTCCGAATAGGACAAGGAGAGGGGGCCGGCCCCTCTCTCTCTTTT